GCTGTGTCAGTGCTAGTGAAGAAAAGCAGTAACTTGGATTATTCAGAACCAGTGTTTGCACTGCACCAATGGGTAGATGGGGGAAGCAAAGTGGCACATTTCCAGCAACATGAAGATAGTTAGACTGAACTCTGAAAGTTGTCTGGCTTCTCTGTCCCAACCACTCTACACTAAACATTTTCCTTCAGTGTGCTGAGAAGTAAGCCACCAGTTTCTCTAACTGCCACATTCCCAGAGTTGGAGAACTTGCCCATCAATGGCTTTGTCTTACAGAAGTTAACTTTGTAACTACAGTAGTTGATTTAAAAGCCTGTCCTATGGCTTTATGCCCTAATGGAGCACAAGAAGGAAGGGATACTTGATAGGCTGAGTCCAAGACCAAAATAAAGCCTAACTAATGACAGCCCTCAGTGCCTGGAGCCCAGCTACAGGCTAAGTGACCTACAGATGAGAGAAAGTTGGAAGGTTTACCTTTGGCTTCCCATTCTCTTCTCATTTCTGTCATTAACCTCTGTAAGATGAGTTTTGGACAAGATGATACCTAAGGCCCACTTCTGAGGTTTCCAGCAGCTGAATTTACCTGTGCCATATGCCTCCCCCATGCAATAAAATTTTATTTTGTATTTAATTAGGACCTAAACTATATGAAGTGCATCAGTTCTTTAGTTCTGACCCACACCCCAGCTCTCCCAGAAGTCTTTTAAATTTACGTGTTTATTCCTGTAGCATCTTTTGTTACAGGATGATCTTAAAGACCTAAGTATAAAAGTCTGCAAAGTAGACATTATGAAGAAGAAATGGGAATGCAAACTTGACATGCTAAAAATGGCTCCCATTTTGCACTGTTGGTAGCATATTCATGGATGCTAATGGGTATCTGGTTACTTGGGTGTTAGGTTCCATTTGGTCCACTGAAATAGATGGCTATGGGGTCTTCCTGTTTGTAAGGTCTTTTGAGAGAGAAATAATTTGTTGTGTGTATACTATATATGCACATTCTTCTGAATGTCTAAGTCACATATTTTATTTTTTAAAAAATGTATAGGGCTTCAAGCAGCAAGCACTTACAGTATCCACAGATCCTGAACATCGTTTTGAGCTTGCTCTTCAACTTGGAGAGTTGAAAATTGCTTACCAGTTAGCAGTGGAAGCAGAGGTATGTTCTAATCCAAGACTTTTCCATAACCCAGGGAAGGGTTAGTAGATAGTTGGGTGTTGCTTTTGCTGAGACATTATTACCAGTGACTCATCAGTGAAGCTCTTGCATCTTTGGTCTTTTTAAAGGTGCATTGTTAATCTTTGAACTGGATTAAATTCAAGATACTCTCAGTTCTATACTCTGTTTAAGAAGTCTTTTCCTGTCTGGTCTGGGTCTCAAGAGTGTAGAGATGGCAACAATTTGCCCTATTAGGGAGAGACACTGATTTTAAACAAGAGTTCTGGCATATTGTGATCTTTGTATATATATGTACTGGAAATTAAGGGTTAACTACAACATTCATAAGTAAATTAATTGCAGGCTGTACAAAAAATTAGCTGTCAAGATCAATTAGATGTGCATTTCATTTGATTTCTGAGAAGCTACAAATGACCATATTCATTAAATATTTAAGGATGTAATTTTCTACTCTTCCTAAAAAAGTGTTACTAATTTACTTGTAAAAATAATTGTAGTCTAATAACACTTTTTAATTCCACTTACATGGTTTTATATTCAGTTTCACTGTGTAAGTAAAAAATGAAAATGAGTTAATTATTCAAGTATCATTTGAATTACTTTTGTTCATGTGATTTTCATTTCCTCATTACACATTTTTGTCATGGCTTTGACTGACAGCCAATTTACCAAGCACAACTCAAAAATTACATTTATGTCTTAATATAAATATCTTCTAATTGTCATCACAGTGATATTCAAAGTAACAGGGTAATATTGATGTTGAAAGTTGAAATGCGGGGGCTGGAGAGATGGCTCAGCGGTTAAGAGCACTGACTGCTCTTCCAGAGGTCCTGAGTTCAAATCCCAGCAACCACATGGTGGCTCACAACCATCCGTAATGAGATTTGATGCCCTCTTCTGGTGTGTCTGAAGACAGCTACAGTGTACTCATAAATAAAGTAAATAAATCTTTAAAAAAAAAAAAAAAAAGAAAGTTGAAATGCTATTTCTAAAGATGTTTTTTATCTTAAATTCTTATAGTCGGAGCAGAAGTGGAAACAACTTGCTGAACTTGCCATTAGTAAATGTCAGTTCAGCCTAGCCCAGGAGTGTCTGCACCATGCCCAGGATTACGGTGGTCTGCTGCTCTTGGCCACTGCCTCTGGAAATGCTAGTATGGTGAACAAGCTGGCAGAAGGTGCGGAGAGAGATGGCAAAAATAACGTGGCATTTATGAGCTATTTTTTACAGGGCAAGTAAGTATTATCTCAGAGCCTACAAAACTTTAAGGAGTTGTAAGCAGTATTTCTCCACTGACTGTGAGGATGGTGCTTGAGAGGAATATAGTACACAAATCCTGGGGACAGCTAGTGATGGCTGACTGCTGTGGAGTAGTGGGGGCAGCCAGAGAACAGTGCTATCTACCTTGGTGGCACTAGCCTTCAGCAAGGGATGCTCTGGTACCTTCTGATCTGTATCTTTATGCTTGAGCTGTTTATTGAATGTGTGGTTCCGAGTCAGAACCTACCAGTTAGTTACTCTTAGACCATTTTACTGAATGATAGGAGGCTGTTGTTCTCCCCAGTTGGTACCTAATGCAAGCAGAGGACTGTCTACACCAGGCAGTTCTGACCTGTTACATGCAAGGATAGGAGGATGAAAATGCTATTTACTATTTGAGCTCAACTTTGAAAACATCATGAATTTTTAAGTCTAGCAGAGTTAATGTGAGCTAAGTCACATGGAGATCAGTTTGCCTTTTGGAAATAAACACAAAAGGGTTAGTAGTCTTGCTCTACATGCCAAAAATCCTAGACCTCACCATCAAACATTTTTATTGAGATATGCTAAAGAACCAAACTCCAGGGATTTGTGCACACTAGACAAGTATTCATTTCGGAGCTACACTTCCAGACTTGTCATAAAACTCAGAGTTATTCAAATAAGCTGAAAGCAGTCATGAACACTGTTGTGCCTCACACCCATGAAGTCCACTGGTTTTGTTCAACATTAAGACAAAAGGCTAAGCAACAGAAGTGAATGTGCAAGGGGCAGGGGTGCTGGAGGATTTTTGCCTCTGCAACAGGTTCACACTTTGAGCTTTATCTGCTATTACTGTTTGTTTATCTAACAGTATCTCTACTTTACTTTAGGCTTGATGCTTGCCTAGAGCTCTTGATCAGAACAGGAAGACTCCCAGAAGCTGCCTTCCTGGCCCGAACTTACTTACCCAGTCAGGTCTCAAGGTATGAACTTAAATTTGGAGAGAAGTGTTTCAACTAAAACAGGGCCCACATTCTTCATCTGTTTGGTTCTGTGATGTCTTAATATTAGGGTAGTGAAGCTGTGGAGGGAGAATCTTTCAAAAGTCAACCAGAAAGCAGCAGAATCCCTTGCTGACCCCACAGAGTATGAAAACCTTTTCCCTGGATTAAAAGAAGCCTTTGTTGTTGAAGAATGGGTGAAGGAGACACATGCGGATTTGTGGCCAGCTAAGCAGTACCCTCTTGTCACGGTGAGTGGCAGAGTGCCAGACTGACACACATTCACAAGTCCAGGTTTAATATGTGCTGCATACATTATAAGGAGCTAATTGATGTCTGAGATTTGGGCATAATTTTGATTTCAGAATATTTCATTTTATTGTTTTATTCTGATAGCCAAATGAAGAGAGAAATGTTATGGAAGAGGCAAAAGGCTTTCAGCCCTCAAGACCCACAGCTCAGCAGGTCTGTAGAGAGCTGCATGTGACAGCATGATTGACAGACATTGTTGATTTAAAGCACTACCTGCTACTTCCCTATCCTCTGCTCCCTCTCCCCGGGGAATATTTACATCTCTGGGCCAGTTCCTTTGGCTTCATATTTACCTCTTATTGTTTAGGGACCTGATGGGAAACCTGCTTCAAGTCCAGTTATCATGGCCTCCCAAACGACCCACAAAGAAGAAAAGGTGGGTGAGCCATCCTCTATCCCACATCCCAAGTCAGGAGCAGGCCTCTGAGGTTTAGATGTCTTTTGGCATTCTAGTTCAGAGAGGAGGCTTCAAAGTAGGATGATGATGCTCTTGTCAGTAGTAAGGAAATTTGGTTCTGGCTTTGGATGTGAACCAGGTAACACAGTGCTGTGTAACATTTACTCCTCCCTCTTCCTTCCCCTGCAGAGTTTACTAGAACTAGAAGTTGATTTGGATAACTTGGAATTAGAGGATATTGATACAACAGACATCAATCTGGATGAAGACATTCTGGATGACTGAAGTTTGCCATTTACTCCAGTAAGAGATTAGTATGGCGTATACAAATCAACCACCATCCTGACCAGAACTATGGAAACCTTTGATTTGTATCTGTAAACAAAGGAGAACATAGCCACTTCATCTTCAGAGGAGTTGATGGGCAGCGGTTATAAGTTACTATGTTCTTCTTGTTAACTGAAACAGACAGTTGCTTTTTTCATATTGTCACTAGACCACCCCTCATAAAATCTTTTGAATTAATGAAAAACTCTGAGTTTCCTTCCTAATGAAAAAAGACATTGAGTTTTAGATGGCCGAGCCAAAACACTTTACTCCAGGGATCAGCTTCCCCTCTCCTTGTGTCACAGCTTAGCTGCTGAGCCTCTGTCCTGACTTGTCCAGCTGGGCTCTCAGCATTACCTGCCGGCCTCTATGGTACTGTGGAAGTGGGTTTTGTTTTTTATCAGAATTAATGTAATGTAAAAAGAGAAATTCATAACCAGGCACTCACATATAAATGTCAGTCATCCCCATGTCACCTAGAAATTGAGTAGGATAACAAGTACTTGAGAATTTAAAAAGCAGAAAACAAATTACAGAAAACTTTAAGGCAGTAATTACCTTTTAATCCCGAGATTTTTAAATGTTCAGCTCAGTATTACCAAAATGGAAGGGCATTAACATGAAATGCATTTTTAATTGTTCTCAGGATGCTGCAGAATGGCTGATGACTATTTCCTGATAAGTTTGAAGTGCTAATTCTATGTATGCTCCTCTCTGTGCTTCTGTTTTTGCAAAGACCTATGAAAATAGAAAAAACAAACAAGTTCTAGAATCTAGAGCAACAGGCAACTAAGTGTATAAAGTCAGTTTTAAGATGTCATTAGCATTTTTGCAGTAGGGACACAATTTCCAATAAGGTCTTGAGTGTCACAATAATCTCCCTGAATGGATGAAATGAGTGTATATGGACAGAAGTACCTTATCCCACAGCTGCAGCAATAGTAATTCTAAACCTTAGAATGGTTTTCATCCCTTAATTAATAAACTATCAGTAAAGATTAAGACCCTGACATTGTACCTCCTCCTAGATCAAAATGAAAACCATTATAGAGAAACTAGAGAGAATGAGAGCCAGCAAGCTTACTTTTTTTCCATTAAAAAAAAAAAATTGTTGCACTTCATGAGTTCATGTCTTAAAAAGAAAAATCTTCAAAAGTATACTGTTCTCCCTGGCTTAGCACAGAAAGTCATGGTGAGCACCAGTTTGTGCTCCTCTTAGGGACATCACCCGACACTCACTTCTGTCCTTAGGAACCAATACAGAAAATTTCAGTGAAGATACCATCTTAACCTAGCACTGAGGATGTGTCTGGAGAGACCATGGCTTGAGAGGTGTGCAGTTCCAAAATGATCATACAACCAAGGTCCCTGATGAATGTGCCCACACTAAGGGTAGGAGGCTGTCCAGTACCTGTGGGGACTTGACCACATCCTTCCCACTGTCTGAACCTCTCATCTCCAGCTGCCAGCTTGCCTACTACACCATCTAGAGTGCTACACAATTCCCCACATGCTGCCAGTCCAGGTAACAGGAAAAATGGAATTTTCATTCACATTGTTTTCAAGCCTAAAATGTTCCATATTCACAATGATGTATCATTAAATATGACCCACGGGTGGATTTTTCCTAACTCAATCATCACCACAAAACTGACAAAAGAACTCTACCTTAATTAAATTGACTCCCACTGCAGCCTGTTCTTTGGCTTCTTGAGCTGACTGGCCATCTGGATGAAGCATGTGGTACAGCTGGACCAGGCTTGTGGCATCATCAACCCTGAGAGTGAAAAAGCCTAGCATTACCAAGGGGTTTTCATTAGTTTCACAACCCTATAAAGTGTTTGCCACTCCTAAGTTAAATTACGTTTCAGACTTAACTCTGGTGAGGGAAAAGGTAGTTCTGTAATTCCAAAGCATTTAAAGGGGCCAGAGGGATGGCTCAGTGAGTAAAACACACTTGTTGCACAAGCCTGATGACCTGAGTTCCATCCTGGAACCAAGTCTACAAAGCTGCCCTCTTGTCCTGACTTACGAGGCAGGTTAAAGCAAGAGGCCATACAGGAAGTGCCCACTCTATGAAGATATGGCTGTGTTCTTTGGGAGATGAGACATCCCTTTCCATAGAAACAATTCCTAGGTCTGGAGAGATGGCTCGGCGGTTAAGAGCACTGACTGCTCTCCCAGAGGTCCTGAGTTCAATTTCCCAGCAACCACATGGTGGCTCACAACCATCTGTAATGGGATCTGATGCCCTCTTCTGGTGTGTCTGAAGACAGCTACAGTGTACTCATATACATAAAATAAATGAATCTTTTTAAAGAAACAATTCCTAGTGGCAAGCATTTCTGGACCAAGTTGGTCAACATGAAGCAGGTTGATCCAACTCAGGATACAAATTCTGCTTTATATCTCTGAAATTATTTCTAAACAATTTCTATCAACGTGAAAACTCTCATCTATCCCCAAAACAATCTTCCCACATAGTCCACACCTTCTAACTACTTGTCCCTCAAAGCTGAGAGTTGTGGAAGACATAAAAACCAAGTGTTCCCATTTTGAGGCTTTGCTGTATACATTTAGCTCCTGGCTTCCAGTTGGGGAGATAAAGGTGAGGACACCATAATTCAGTGCTGTGCTAAAGTTGTCTCTCTTTGACTATCCCCACTTTTTAAACAGCTGGGCTAGAAGATGACAGAAGTAAGCACATAATGCCTGAAGCCATGGTGACCTAGTGAAATGCTCTGGGAAAAGGAACCACCTGCTCAAACTGTACAAGCCTTTCTGAGGCAAAATGTTGAAACGGCCATTACTTGTCTGTCATGCTTACTTTAGTTCAAAAAGGCAGACAAAATGTCTCTTCCTGATACAAAGATGAAAATAATTCCCTTTAAAACTTGGTCATAATGGCACTATGGGTTTCTACACTTCAGAATTATGTTTAAGCTCTTCCTGGCAGGTACGAACCACTTCAGATGTTAACTTTTACATAAGGAGTAATAGAATACCACATATTGCCACATCCCATAGCTTCAGTATCTAGAGCTAGTCTCTCCTTACACTAAGTGCAGGATTGTCTGCATTTGGGGAGCTTGAGGAGACAGTTCATAGGTCACATAATACAGAAAGGCACATCACTTCTGATCATCCCCAACTAGGCCACCTGATGATGAGGGAATTTTGCCACCTTCTAAACTGAATCATACTGCACATGCTGATGAAGCACAGGAATTATCACTAGGAAAGCTGTCCTGATGAAAGCAATGCTGTATCTTGGGTAATATGCATGTAACCTTTGAGTGTGACATTCAAATTGCAAGTAAGATACTTCTACAGTCTGAGGATGGAATAACTGATACCTCTTATTCAATCTTAATAGTCTGGCAAGGGCTATGGGTAAAGTTAACTCTCAAAACAGCCATGATGGTTCCTTCCCCTGTGATTTTGTATTTTTTCACCTAAATGTAAAAAGCTATTTTCTTTCCAGTTTTATCTCAAACAGCATGCATAACTCAGAAATACAAAGTTTTGTTCCTAACCACAGCAATAAACAAGCCATGAGCCGTTAAGTTTACTAGTGTAGTTATTTTATACTATACAGTAGTCTATTAACTATATTTTAAGTCATTTTTACAAAATGGCAATTTTAATAAACAGTAGCATCAACAAACTTCCTTAACTAAAGATACCAGCCATCCATTTCTTTTTGTTTTTAGACAGCGTCTGACTAAGTAGACCAGGCTGGCTTCAAACTCAAAAGATCCTCCCATTTCAGCCCCATCCACCACCATACCCAGGCAGACTTTAATTTGTAAAGATTGAAAACCTTCACAGCACAGTATGATGAATTACATTTATGTTATTTTCAGCTAGCAACCTGGGAGCATATCAAATTGACACCAAAAATGCATTCTTTCACACTACTTTGAAAATAACTTTACTGAAACCTTAGAAGCTTTTCAAAAAAACAAGGGCCGTCAAAAAAGTTATTTTCGTAAGTTAAACATGTTAACAGGGAAGTCCTATGGGTAGAGTAGTTCTGCTAGAAAATAAGTGTCCAATTCCCATGTAACATCCTTGAGTGTCTAGAAAACCCACCGATACCCAGGAACACTGGAAAGTAAGGGTGAAAAAGAAAATCTCAGTCTACTATTAAGATCCAAAGCCACTTTTTTTTCTAACAATCTAGCACTGATATGCAACACAAAAGCAAAGACTGGAAGAACTATGCTAGAAAAACAAATCCAAATGGAAATAAGTGAAAACTTACTATTACTGGACAATACACTGTCATTGCAAAAAATACTGACTTACTGTTGGGCAATAAATGATTAATTATTCAGATCATTCATACTTACAAATCTCTCTGGATCTGATCGATGAGCAAACCATCAATCTTTTTTTTATTTACAAAATACCAAGCCATTCCACCAAAGTGTCTTGTTGAACGTAAAAGCTCATATTTTCCATCTCTGTCTATATCTTCATAGGTCTGATGATGAACCTATTCACATAAAATGCACAGAAAAATGAAAAGTGGATGACATCACAGGGTTCCTATCAACTAGCAGGAATGTTGGCATGAGTCAGAGTATAACCAGGTCTACCTGCAAGCTGCCTCCCTAGCCTTGTTCAACTCAGTAAAGCACTTGCCTCATAAGCACAAGACCTGGGGAGGATCCCCAGAACCCACATAAAAACCATGTGCGGTGGGCATGCTTGTATTCCCAATGATGGCAAGATGGATCCCTGGAAGTTCACTAGCCATCTAGCCTAGCCAACTGAGCAACATTCTAGGCCCAAAGAACCCAAGCTTGTCCTCTGACCCATACATAGGAACGAGCATTTGTCTACAACAACAAATCGGTGCCTTCCCCACTACAGTATCACCCTTGTGTGTGTACACCTCCCTGTGAGTATATAGCCCAACAACGTCACCAGGATCCCCTAGTCCTTGCCCCCTCTAACTCTGCAGCCACAGATATGTGCCAACTCACCTGGCTTTCACATGGGTGCTGGGAATCTGAACTCAGGTCTTCATGCTTGCACAGCAAGCACTTGACCTACTGAACTTCCTAGCCCTGTCCAAAAGGCTTTTTTTTTTTTTTGGTTTTTCAAGACAGGGTTTCTGTTTATACCCCGGGCTGTCCTGGAACTCACTCTGTAGACCAGACTGGCCTCAAGCTCAAAAATCCGCCTGCCTCTGCCTCCCAAGTGCTGGGATTAAAGGGGTGCACCACTACTGCCCAGCCCAAAAGGCTTTAAAATTGATGAAGTTTTAAGATGAAGAGAGTATTCCTCACCTAGTAGTGAGGTCACACTTGATACAGCCCATCCATCTTGAACCATCCCCCTGCATATGCACTGTATGTACAAACACACATCTCAAGCGTACTTGGTTATTTACTGTCCTCTGAAACACCTCTACTCACCAGTCTCCTCTCTCACACTGTTCCTTGCCCTTCTAGACCCCCTTTCAAAGACACCTAGGAAGCAACACCTAACATTTTAGGCTAGAGGTGACAAGTGTCTGCATATTGTCTTATTGCTGTACATCACTGCTGGAGCACAGGCCTTGACGCCCACTCAATCCTGGTTCCTGGCATCAGCTATGCTACCTGTAATAATTGTGCCCACAAAACCAGGCTCTCTGAAGACATCCTTACTAAGCTACAAGACACACACTGCGCCTGGAAAAATTCTAATGGATAACCAACTTTTCCTATAAGGTGAATGGAAAGGAGAAAAAGCCTTGTCATCATCTGAGTCCTAAACCAACCACTTTAACAGCAGTGCAACTAAGAGCAAACCAGTTCACTCTACAAGCCCAGCTTCCCTCATTCTTAGAGGTGTCTGAACACATAAAACATGTATCTACCCTCAATACCCCTTTCCTATAACCTGCATCAAAACCTATAGTGGAATTCAAGTGTTACATTAAGAACCTTTTGCACAATCATGTTTAAATCACATTTTGGGAACTATTAAATACACTCACCTTGATATACTCAGTGGAATCTGGCTCAAACTGGGCGACACAGAGATTGAGGACGTCAGCATGCCGGTCTTGGCTGTACATGGTCTAAAACCACATAGTAAAATGGGAGTCAGCTGAGAACATGAAAGTTTCCATCTGTCCTGACACCCTGGCAGGCCTGCCAATATACAAGCCACCTATGTGCCTATCAAGAGCACACAGGGAGCTGGATATGGTGGTGCAGGCCTTTAATCCCAGCATTTGGTCGGAGGCAGGAACAGGTAGATTTTTTTGAGTTCAATGCCAGCCTGGTCTACATAGTTCCAGGACAGTCAAAGCTACACAGTGAGACCCCAACTCAAACAAAATAAAACAACAAAACAGAAAAAACAAAATAAATGAATTTTTAAAAAGCATACAGGGGACTGGAGAAATGGCTCAGAGGTTAAGAGCACCAACTGCTCTCCCAAAGGTCCCGAGTTCAATTCCCAGCAACCACATGGTGGCTTACAACCATCTGTAATGAGATCTGATGCCCTTTTCTGGTGTGTCTGAAGACAGTGTACTCCTATACATAAAATGGATAAATAAAAGCATACAGAAACGGCACAGGCTTTGCAAATGCCACACTTGGAGTCAAACCCCAACTAAACTAACTATATGAGAACCCTCATCAAGTTACTGCTACATTAGTGCCCGTGTTCACCTTTTTGAAATTGCCAGCAGCGCCAGAGCTGACTGCTTCAGCAGATGACCATCATGGAAATGGAATTCAATTCACTGTACCTTAAGGTTCTCATCTTTGAAAATTACTGGTGGCAAAACTCTACGACCTTCTTTAGGGAAATAAATTTGTATCACTCTGTCCCGTTCTTCCCATGAAGCTTTGCGTAGTGTGCCACTTGGTTCTCTAACAACAATAAAACGTTCCTGAAACAGAAAGCAACCAAAGGTAAGTAAGTTGTGAAGACTTCAGTTAGCTTTTGTGATAGCAAATACTATCAATGTGGCAGGATCTAGAATCACTTTGGAGACGATCTGTGTGTATGTGAGAGAGGCAGCCCCACCCTAATGTGGGCAGCACCATTCCATGAGCTGAGTCCTAGACTACAGATGAAGGGAAAGGTGAGCGAGCTCCAGCATTAGTCCCTCTGCTTCCTGACTGCATGCAATGTGACCACAAGTTGGGCCACAGATAAAGAGAGCTAAAATGCTAAAATCCTGACTTCTATCCACAACTGTGTAAGACCAGATGGAGGAGGGACCACTTTTCTAACCTCAGCACTCAGTCGTACTTTAATGCATTCTGAGGGCCCAACCACAGAGCACTTCTGTCCTTCACTTACAAGGTTCAAATGAAAAACTGTTTTTACATGACACACTGCTGTTTTAAACTGGTAATCAAGGAAACTACTGTGGAAACAGTAATGTCTGAAAACTATCTGTGAAACTCCAATGGTTTTACTAAAGAGTAAAAAAATCCATTGGGAAGTTTGGGTTTCTTACATTATTGATTCTAGCACTTGGGAAACAGAGGCAGACAGATCCCTGAGTTCAAGGATAGCCTGGTCTACAGAGAGAATTCTAGGACAGCCAGGGCTATATAGTGAGACTCTATCAGGAAAAACAAACAAACAAACAAAATAAAAAAATAAAGAATGAAGGAAAGACAGACAAAGATAAACCACTCCACCTTGCTCAAGTCTAAACGGGACATCTGTACCATAACCCTCCAGGGAACAGGGCTCAGGGAACAGGCTGAAGAAGGGCAGAAGGCGTGTAAGAGCAGATGAGTGGACTGCTGTGGAACACTGCCCTAAGGACACGGCATGGCTGCTGCACTCATGAACTCCTTACAACTCTGGTTACTTTCATAAGACCTACACAGATGTCAAGACCAGGCCAGTGAACACTTCATCATGGGCCAGGGAGGGGCACAAAAGGCTCCACCCCTCCCTGAGCCCCATTCTTAGTTAGGGTTGTTATTACTGTGATGAAACACCATGACCAAAAGCAAGCTGGGGAGAAGGGTTTGTTTGACTTCCACATCACAGTTCATCATCAAAGGAAGTAAGGACAGAACTCGTGTCACAAGACAGGAACCTGGAGGCAGAAGCTCATGTAGAGGCGATGGAGGGGTGCTGCTTACTGCCTTGGTCACCAAGGCTTGTTTAGCCTGCTTTTCTATAGAACCCAGGACCACCTCAGGGATGGCACCACCCACAATGGGCTGGGCCTTCCCCATCAACTACTAACTAAGAAAATGCCCTACAGACTTGCCTGCAGTTTAACCTTACAGAGGCATTTTCTCAGTTGAGGTTCCCTCCTCTCAGATGACTTTTGCTTGTGACAAGTTGACATGAAAACTAGCATCTATAAACAGTACGGTTGTTAGGGAAGAGGTGTCACTTTCTTTAGTGTTGAGGACACTGATAAAGTTGCCCAGACTTCAGTAAGTACCCTCACTCATGCTCATGCAAGAATCCCAATGAACTAGAAACACAATAAAACAGTAGAGGGGCTTCTCAGGGTGGAGAAGGATTCCAAGACGAATGGGGGTAAGAGAGGAGACTAGAGACTGACAACTAAAATGCCTTAATATAAATGTACGACTGTTAAGAATAGTCTTAAAATTAAAGGAAAAGGATAAGATGCCATGCCCCCCGCCACCACCCACATACATACAAGAAAACCCTTGATCTTCTGATCTTCTCCAGAAGTGTCAGCTAAGAAAACCAGTCCAGCCCAGGTAAACTGAATGTTGCCTTCTTTCTGACCACTGCTGTCTGTTCCATCTGCCTGGTCTCAACACAAGTGTCTTAGGGTTTCTACTGCTGTGATAAAAACACCATGACCAATATAATCTGGGCAGGAAACGCTGTACTTCATCCCACAACTCTCAAGTCATGCACACTCCATCACTAAGACATCAGGGTGGGAGCCTGGAAGCAGAAACTGAAACAGAGGCCACCAGGGAGTGCTTCTTATGGGTTTGCTCCTCAAGGCTTTCTCAGCCTGCTTTCTTATAGCACCCAGAAACACCAGCCCAGGGATGGCACCACCCCCAGTGAGCTGGATCTTCTCACATCAATCATCAAACAGAAAAAGGCAGCACAGATTTGCCCACAGGCCAATCTGGTGGGGACATTTTCTCAATTTAGGCTCCCTCTTCCAAAATGACTCTAGCTTTGTCAAGTTAACAATAAAACAAGCCAGAACAACATGTTTCTGGTATCAATCTGAGATACACTAAGTTCATAGTATGTAACAACATGACAGGGACCTGCCAGCATATCATGCTTCTTCAGAGGCACTCCACTTTGAAAGCGAGAGAGAGAGAGAGAGAGAGAGAGAGAGAGAGAGAGAGGGAGGGAG